AATAAGAGTCAGTGAAATGATGGGAGGCTGTGTGGTGACGGAGGAGACAACTCATCAAATTCTCATCAAAATCCCTAAATCCATTTTAAGGCTTAGAAGTGGGTGGTAAGTAAGTAAGTCAGGTTTGTGTTTGAGAGTATTCATACAGAAGTAGGACCAAGAGGGCAATGTGATCAAACATACATACATCTACTAAAGGCTCAAAATGTCACAAGCAGATATGGAAAAGTGAAAAAAGACCTAAAGAAGAGGGGAAGGAAGAAAAAATTGAGGGAGAGAAAGAAGAGTCAGTGAAATGATGGGAGGCTGTGTGGTGACGGAGGAGACAACTCATCAAATTCTCATCAAAATCCCTAAATCCATTTTAAGGCTTAGAAGTGGGTGGTAAGTAAGTGTCAGGTTTGTGTTTGAGAGTATTCATACAGAAGTAGGACCAAGAGGGCAATGTGATCAAACATACATACATCTACTAAAGGAGAAAGAAGAGTCAGTGAAATGATGGGAGGCTGTGTGGTGACGGAGGAGACAACTCATCAAATTCTCATCAAAATCCCTAAATCCATTTTAAGGCTTAGAAGTGGGTGGTAAGTAAGTGTCAGGTTTGTGTTTGAGAGTATTCATACAGAAGTAGGACCAAGAGGGCAATGTGATCAAACATACATACATCTACTAAAGGCTCAAAATGTCACAAGCAGATATGGAAAAGTGAAAAAAGACCTAAAGAAGATGCAAAGTTATGAAAATGGCCTGCCAAGCTGAGGGAATTGCCATGCACACCATCACTTATCATTGATATTGGCTGAACTCCTACTATGTGCCAGGCACTGAGCTGGGCTACAGAGCACTATGGTGAGCAAAGCCAGAGTTCTTGCTCTCCTGGTGCTTGCACACTAATGGGAGAAACAGACATTGATCAAATAAGTACACAAACATTTCTAAAATTGCAATTGTGAGGAGTGCTATGAGGAAGTGGCACATGGTATTATGAGAGAATCCAACAGAGAGATTGGCCCAGGTAGGGAGATCAGAGAATCTTCTCAAATAAGTAATGCTTGATCTTAGCACTGAGAGATGAGAAGACATTAACTGAGTGAAGAAAGGAGAAAAAAGCAGCCCAGGAAGAAGAATATGTGTAAAGGCCCTAGAAAAGCAGGTATGAGGACTAAAAGGCAAAGAGTGGCTAAGGCAAAGAAAGACTGGGGAGAATGGGCAATATGAAGTTGTAAGGCAGAGAAGAACCAGGTTCCTCGGGGACTGTGGACCACATGATGGAATCTCAAAAGCACTTGGAAGTCATTTAAGGAAAGTTGACAAGAATCCCTGAGAAAGCTGAAAATGCTAAATGAGACCTCTGTTTATTTACACTTTATCCCCACTTTTGTTGGCATCTCCACTGATGTCAATAAAGTTTAGCCTGAGTCACTGAGTATGCCCAAAATCAGAAGAAAAAAACATTTAATAAACACTGTTAATTTAGTCGTTCATAATCAAAATAATTGATATTTTTAATAAACTTTTCATCAATGTACAAGAAAAAACTCTAATTTTGACCCACCATAAAAACACAAATGCCCAGTGTGTAAATTCATAATGCAGTATTTAATCTTTAGTTACTTAAAGAATATTGGATTAGGTGTCAAACAGCCTGAGTTTTAATTTTGACTTGGCCACTTACTAGTCACATGGCCATGGGTAAGTCTCCAAACCTCTCTTAATCTCAGTTCTTTTATCTATAAAATGGGGTAATAACTTTTGCCCAATATACCCTATAGGATTAAAGAAAGCCTTAAGTAATGGAGCGATACAGCAAATACAGACATTATTATTAACCTTTCTCTAAATTGCACAAGAAAACACACAACTTATTCTACTCAAATAATGCTTCTTTTAACTTCACGTATCAAACTGTTTTGCAATATTGTTACACAATAATGCTTTATCTTGAAAGTCATTGCCCTCTAATACATCATAAAACTATTCCTTGTGTATACAAAACCACCCAGAGGGAGATTCTTTAGGAAGAAAAGTTTTGTTTTATTTTATTGTAGGACAGATAAAAGATTTCGTTCAAGTATTATCATCAGTTTTGTATCTACTTTTAAAAGGAAAAGGGTATAAGAACAGATGCTCTACTCATAAGAGAAGTGCATGTTAAAACTATCTGAGATGCTATTTCTCACTCATTGGAATGGCAAAAATGTAAACTCTTGAAGAAACAATCTGTTGAACAGATTTTGAGGAAAAAGACACTCTCATCCACTACAAAATGATACAACTCCTATCGAGGGGAATTAGGCA